AAGTCCAGGAAGCCTGTATCGTCCGTTTCATTGAAGTGAATGAAACAATCCATGTTTTGATATCCTGTGGTGAGAACTCACTAATAATGCAACAGAGAAACAGACTATGATGCATCACTTACACTGAGATTTCAATGTTGCAGAAAAATCAACTGTAGAGGTTGAGAGTTAAGACACCACTATAAGATGGACCTGCCAACAAAAACTTTGTCTTCTCTGTCTTGCAGGTGTACTTTAACTTCATCGTGCCCAGCGGCAGCCCTAGGTAATTTTCAACAGTAAGTAAACCAATCACTGATATATATTTTCTGTTTGTCATGGGAGTTCTATGTGCCATATTTGGTTCAATTCCATCACTGGTGGAGTTAAGAATGCTCTTTGATTTTATGTGAACTATACATCCCAGTAACTACAACTCGCATATGTCAAGGTCTATTTTCCCCCAAGAGCGCCTCAAGAGCACCCCTGGGCAAAATCAACTATACTGCAAATGCTTACTTTGCGTAATGGGTTGAGCCGCCCCTGATCATGCCACCAATGTACATGGCACATGTAAAACAACCAAAAACAATAGGTTTTGCCAAAAGCATACAATTGAAAAAAGTGTGTGTATATGTATATGTGCATGCAAGTGTGTGCGTATATATATATACACACACATATGGAAAAAATAGTAAAAGTATAAAACTATGTTATATAATTGCAAGATAAACTATCCAGATAAAATATAAAAAATAAAATCTATACACATAATAAAAGTGAAAATGTGTGTATATGGCAGAGGTGTTCACTTACACAGACAGCCATAAAGAAACTTGACAAGTGTGTGTGTATAGTATATATGAATATACTATAATATGTATTATATAATATGTATTAAAGTATAATCATATATATGATATAATCAATATATACACAATTATAAAACAATATTAAATTAACATGCAAAAGCTTTGGGAGACAGGTTTTTAATTGTTCATTCGTTCGGTCGTTTCTGACTCTTCGTGACCTCATGGACCAGCCCACGCTAGAGCTCCCTGTCGGCCATCACCACCCCCAGCTCCTTCAAGGTCAATCCAGTCACCTCAAGGATCCCATCCATCCATCTTGCCCTTGGTCGGCCCCTCTTCCTTTTTCCTTCCATTTTCCCCAGCATAATTGTCTTCTCTAAGCTTTCCTTTCTTCTCATGATCTGGCCAAAGTACTTCATCTTTGCCTCTAATATTCTTCCCTCCAATGAGCAGTCGGGCTTTATTTCCTGAAATATGGACTGGTTGGATCTTCTCAAGGTCCAAGGCACTCTCAGAACTTTCCTCCAGCACCACAGTTCAAAAGCATCTATCTTCCTTCGCTCAGCCTTCCCTATGGTCCAGCTCTCACATCTGTAGGTGACTATGGGGAATACCATTGTTTTAACTATGCGGATCTTCGCTGCCAGTGTGATGTCTCTACTCTTCATTTTATTGAGCTTGGACATTGCTCTCCTCCCAAGAAGTAAGCATCTCCTGATTTCCTGGCTGCAGTCTGCATCTGCAGTAATCTTTGCACCTAGAAATACAAAGTCTGTCACTGCCTCCACGTTTTCTCCCTCTATTTCCCAATTGTCAATCATTCTTGTTGTCATAATCTTGTTTTTTTTTATGTTTAGCTGCAACCCAGCTTTTGCACTTTCTTTTTTCACCTTGATTAGAAGGCTCTTCAGCTCCTCCTCGCTTTCGGCCATCAAAGTGGTGTAATCTGCCTGCTGTCCAAAAGCCTGGTCGCAGAACCATGATTTCAATTTCTTTGTAAAAAACAGGAGGGATGAAGCCAATCTTATCTTGTTGGGAAGTGAGTTCCACAGGCAGGGGGCCACAGCTGAGAAGGCCCTGCCTCTCATCCCTGCCAAACACATTTGCGAAGCTGGCAGGAGCAAGAGCAGGGTCTCCCCAGATGATCTTAAATTGTGAGGCAGGACATAGAGGGAGATGCGTTCAAACAAATAAGCTGGGCCAGAACCATATAGGGTTTTATAGGTCAAGAGCAGCACTTTGAATTGTGCTTAGAAGTGGACTAGCAGTCAGTGGCGCTGACACATCAAGGGGATGGTATGCTCCCTGTATGTCACTCCAATTGGTAATCTGGCTGCCGCCCATTGGACTAATTGGAGTTTCCGAACAATCATCAAAGGCAGCCCCACATATAGTGTGTTGCAGTAATTTATTCGGAATGTAACAAGAGCATGTATAAAGAGAAGACAGTAAAGAACTTTCTCTTATAACTGTATTCTCAATTCACTTCTGACATGATAAAAATAATAAAGAACCAAGAACAGAATCCTGTGGAACACCAACAAAAAGTGGTAAAGAAGGTACATGACCCCCCCCCCCCAGCTTATTAAATTGTAGACTTGAAAGGTATCTTACTTGAAAGGTAAGATATGAATTAGCTGAGGCCTGAATAAGTAAATCTCTAGCTCAGGAAGTGCTTCCCTCCTTCAGGAGGGAAGGCAGGGAGAGAGAGAGAACCTGGGACATTTAAAAGCACCTGGGAAAGTGGGATGGCAGAGGATTAAATGGGACTGGCCTTACCGGACCGGAATAGTTGGAAGATATGTTATGATCATTGATAGTTAATGGGAATCTCTATAAAAAACAGCTTACATGCCCCCTCCTTCCCATTTGTCAGGGTGGAAATGGACATGGTTTTCCAGTTCTGTGATTTTTCTCATCATTTCAGCTGGAATTTGTTGATGATTAAAGTGTAATGCTTCTTTGCTGAGCAAGACAGCTGACAGTAAACCTAAACTTCCAACCAGCAAAATTTCTTCTGGGACTCCCTTAACCAAACCTTTGGGTCTAATAATGGCAGGTGAAGGTGATCACAAACAGAGCCCATACTTTTATTTTCTTTCTTTTCAGTTAGTACAATTGGATTATTTAGACAAAAGGGATGTTAGTTTTCATCTTAGCTCTACTGAGCATAATTGGAAACAATGGCTGTGACTCACTCACCCAGAGAGTCAATAACTCTGTGTACACCAGGAAGTGGTCTCTCCTCTTGGGAAAAGGGGCAAAAGAGTTATTTAGACAGTAAATCACTGGAGCGAAGGAGGATTCTGTCTTAAGTTCACTGCTTTCCACTCATAACCTTCATTATTTGAAACTGCGGACTGAACACATGTCAAAACATCCCGATCTCTCTTTGCATTTATATTTTGTTTCCCATTTCAGTTGGAATTTATTTTAACCCTATACAAGACTAGAGATCAGACCTAAATGATTGTACTCTTTCTACTGGACTTCTGTCTAAGAAATGGTTTCATCTCCACTTCCCAATGATTTTGTGCATATAAGGAAATCTTTCAACACACTCTATGCCCACCATGAGCTGCATATGTGGGAAGAGAAGGAGAGTTTAGGTATACAGGCATGCCCCAAGTTATGAACAAGATGGGCTCTTAAGTTGAATATGCATGGAAGTCAGAACAGGTACATTATTTAAGTGTATAGAGATAGATAGATAGATAGATAGATAGATAGATAGATAGATAGAAGCTTTGGATGGCATAGGGAAGGGCTACCACCTCTGTTGAGTTTGTTTTGCTGTCTATGCCCCTGTTCAGAGGATTCCACCTCACTTTCTGTCCTCCTTTTTCATGTCAGGAGTGACTTTGAGATGGCTGTCTCAAATGCTGTGGGACAGAGAGGGGGATAAGGTAATAGAGTGATGTATGAGGGCTTTTTTCATGTCAGCAGCAACTTAAGTTGCTTCTGGGATGAGAGAATTGGCTGTCTGCCAGGACATTGTCCAGGGGACGCTCGGATGTTTTTGATGTATTACCATCCTTGTGGGAGACTTTTCTCATGTCCCCACATAGGGAGCTGGAGCTGATAGAGGGAGCTCATCCATGCTCTCCCCAGATTCGAACCTACGACCTGTCAGTCTTCAGTCCTGCCAGCACAAGGGTTTAACCTAATGTGCCACCGGGGTCTCCTACACTTTCTGTCCCTGTGATAATTGGATTTTGAAAAATGTGACTTGTTGTGGAAACAAGGAATAGTGAAAAAACTTCAGCTGAGACATCTTTTCCCCATGCTAACTCTTACAGAAGCGAATTTCCCTTCTGAGGGGCAGATTTCTCTCACTTCCTATTGTCTCACTCCTGTTCTTAACTATGAGTCACTTGTATGCCAGATGTTTGTAACTCAGAGACTGCTTGTACTTTTGTTCAGCTGGAGGATTCTCAGGTCCCATGAGCTCTGGTTCTTCCCTGGCAGCAATCAGATGGGTGTGTAATTTATGCCAGCCCTTGTCATAAATGTGATGATCTTGTCCACTTCGCATTCTATTGTTTATTGCATTCATTTCACAGTGCATCCACACTGCACAGTTATAGCAATCCCTTTCTGCTTTATCTCCATTCCATGAATCCTGAGATTTATAGTCTGGTGAAAGACTTAGAATTCTCTAGTGTATTCCTTTGATCTACAATATGTCAACCCTCTATGTATCTCTTAAAACTATCAACCCCTGGATTGCATAAGATATAACCAGGACTTTTGCCTGTGTCTACTGCATAAGGCAATATTCTACCCCTCCCCTCCCAATTTTTGCATGGGGAACTCACTTTGCAGCAATTGAAATAAACTATGTCGAAAGAGAAAACCAGGAAGGGGAGAGACAAGCTGAAGGCCAGTGGAGGAATAAAGGAAAACAACAGTCTCCCAGTGAGGATTCCCTCCCTTCGGCACAAAGATTGTGTGCAAATATTTGGTCATTAATTGTGGTTTTCCTCGGGATTCTAGGAGATCTGGTTGACGCCTTTTCACTGCTTTGAGTTCCAGTGGGAATTCACTAAGCTAAACCAAAACATGCCTCATCTGAGTAGGCAAACAAGAAATACTTCATGACTACAGTTTCCAAGACACTTCAGTGTGTAATGTTATGTGTCAACTCAGGCTCTTATTGCAAACATTAGTGCAACAAGTCGAGCACAAAACGACGTGGAGAAACTCAGAATGAACCTATTTCTAGTTACTGGGAGAATACTTATTTCCTTTGGGATTCTAAGCTTCATTTCTGGAACAATTGCCTTCTTCCCCGTTTTTTCCTATAAACCATGGTTTGTTGGATGGAGTATACGCATTGCTTCTCCCATCTGGAATGGAGCTTTGGTAGGCAAAAAATAATATATGACTAGGATAAGATGTTGAAATAAATTGTTGTTGCTTTATATATTGGCCTAGTTGCTAACACATTTTATGGAATCTTTACGTTTTTGTAATGTCTAAAATTTACGATGGAAAAACTTGGAAGTAATAGTTTACATGCTGTTAAGTTTCATATGACATTTCTATCATGCCAAATTGTTCTATTATACTGAGATGAAGGGGAAAGGGGCTGCAGAAAGAACTCCCTAAAGCTTGAGTCTGCCTAGGAATAATGAGGATTTTGGACAATTTACTCTATTGATATAGTAGTCAAACTTGAACTGTGTACTTGCTTGTCATGATCATCCCATAGCCACGAAGAACCCTAAAATGCAGCCAGGTTTATTTATTCATATCAATTTCTGGTTCTAATCATTTTAAATCTCTACCATGATCAGGTTTTCTATAAAGCTGTCAGGTTTGAGAATGCCTCTACACTATAGAGTTAATGCAGTTTGACACCATTGTATCTGCCATGGCTCAGTTCTATGGAATCATGAGAGTTGTAGCGTTACATGGTTTTTAGCCTTTTCTGGCAAAGACTGCCAAAGCCTCACCAAATTACAGCTCCCAGGATTCCATAGCACGGTGTTATGGCAATTAAAGTTGTGTCAAACTGCTTTAATTCAATAGTGTATGGGCACTCTCAATTACGAGGGTTATCCAGAAAGTAAGGTTACAAGGCACGTAGTTCTCACAGGGAATTTTCTCAGGGGAAGTTGCTATCACTGCCATGTATTGGGAAGCCAGTGGAAATGAATGAGCAGTGCCAGTCGTCAGTAGCTCATCGACTGGCATTGTGGTGAAGGTTAGAGATGAGCGTCCTCATTCAGTTTCCCTCCAAGTGCGAAGTTTGCTCTGTAATATGTTACCTAGATGCTAAGGGCATGGAGAGGGCATAATGTCAAGACAGCATGTGACAAAATGGGTATGGAATATATTGTGAGACCATGAAGAAACTTCACAGAGCCATCCAAAACAAACATTGTGGGATGCTGATTGCAGGAATCTGTCTCCTTCATGACAAAGTGCATCCGCTCATGCAAAACAAGAGTTGTTATCTTCATTTGATTGGGATGTTTGAAGCTACCCATCTCACAGCCCCAATCTTACACCCAGTGACTATCATCTGTTCACTAAGTTGAAGGAACACCTTCAATGTGGTGAAAATCGAAGTGATGAACTAGCTGAAAAGGCAGAAGAAAACTTCTATGACACAGGCATCAAAAACTCATCCCATGGATGATGAAATGTATTGAACTGAATGGTGATTATGTGGAGAAATGATGTAATACATATGCTACAATCCATGTAAGTTTCATTAAAATATATTCATTCTTTGTATTTTAAAGAAATCTTGTAACCTTACTTTCCAGATAACCCTCGTACATATTTAACTGATCCTAAATACTTTACATTGCAAGTGGAATAGCTCACAATCAATGGGCATGGTTGACCAGATGGATCCATTTAAGGGTTTAATCTACACTGGAAAGGCATTGTTCCAGGTGCTGAAGCTCTTAGGTGGGAGGAAGTGGGAATCACACAGGAGTCACCAGCAATAATGGCTAACATTAATATATTGTTGCTGAAATCTATCCCCTATGACTATTGTGAACACTGCACTGAATGCTGTAGCAAACAAGGACGTGTCTTGTTGACCTTCAAGTCATTTCTGACTTATGGGGATCCTACAGAGGCCTTATCATAGTGGTTTCTGGAGCTTAGAGTATGAGACTCCTATAATTAATGCAGTTTTCCAGCACTTTCACTGCCATGGCTCAATGCAATGGAATCCCCGGAGGTGTAGTTTCAAAAAGTCTTTAACCTCCTCTGCCAAATATTGTTGGTGCATCACCATCTACAGTGTAGATGCAAGCCCCCCCCCCCCCATCCCAAAATGAGTTTCTATCTCTGTGAAGAACTGAACCCTAGTCTGCAGAGTCATGGCCCAATGCTCAAATCACTACACAAGGAAGTGTGAGGGGAGACAAATAATATTTGTCATTGTCCCTGCTGTTCAGAAAAAAATCCCTGTGCTTGACTCTTTGAACCTGAATTGCAAAACAACAGTATTTTGCTTTTCAAGCATAAAAAATGACACTGAAAATTGCAACGTATTGCTTAATTAACTCAGCAGGGAGAAGAACAGCCCTTTTTAATGTGTTTTTGTATGTGCCCTCTAGTCTCCTGTCAAGTTATGGCGACCCCTTGAATTTCATAGGGTTTTATTTCTGGCTGTTGTTTACCTTCAAGTCATTTCCGACTTCTGAACCCTAAGGCGAAGCTATCATGGGGGCTTGTTGCCAAGATTTATTTCAGAGGGGGGTTTGCTTTCACCTTCCTCAGGCAAGGAATATTGAAGGATGGCTTTGACAGTTCCTTCCTCACAGGAAAAGGCAAATCGCTGCAGCCCCTCCTAGCTGATCTGTTCTTCCTCATTAGTACCTTGACCACACTCTGATCTTGCTTGGCAGCACATGCCCTGATTTTCATCTGTTCAAGGGTCTGGGGTGCTACTTAAAGTGCCAAATCACTGACAAGGGAGGAATAAACATTAGGAGAGGGAACCAATGTAGGCATAAATAGTGTGTCAGTCTATGTGTGGCCCTGGTAGCTACTTGGGGATGCCAAGTGACTATGCCAACCCCATGACATACCCATTCTTCAACATCAACATCACCTCCTCTGGGCTGCTTGAGGTTTTAATTCTTTTAAAGTCACACAGGAAAATACTGTGTAATGCATAGTTTGGGTCTCTGGCTAATGGCTTGGGAAAAGAGAACCAGAAGGGGGAAGGAATCTTCAATGGAGGAGGAGGAGGGGAAGAAGAAGTGTGTTTGTGTGTGTGTGTGTGTGTGGAGACATCAATCAGCCTAATCATATTTAGACATTTTGCTCCATCACTCCTGGAGCCAGGATTCCAGGGTTAATGGTTAATTGTTCTGACAGTTTAGCTCTCATTCTGTTGAAGTTATAATGTTCCAAGGCTCCACCACAGAACCCAACAGGGGTTTAGCTTCTCAAATGCACAGAACAATGTACAATTTGTGAAGCTAGCAATGTACTTCTTCTTAAACTGGTGGTTACATGGATGACCAAACAGTTTCCTTATTGGCCTCTGATTTTTCCAGATATTGTGGTAAGAGGAAGCACAGTGAGGAATTCTCATGGGCCCATGACAGCTGACTCAGTGAAATGTTGTTTAGAAAAATGGAAGATATGCAAACAGCTGATATGTTCAGGGGAAAACTCCAGTGGGAATGAATATGATTGATTGACAGACACTGAGAGTGTATATTTATATCAACCCAACACTTTAGATCATATACCAGCTATATTGCAGTTTGTATTGGGTACTGACTTCTGTGACCTTATGTGAGTGTCTTGGTGTGTCTGGCTTTAAGTATCCTGTCAATTTATGCTGACCCAATATTTGTTTGTTTGTTTGTTTGTTTATTCATTTAGAGCTTTTATAACCCGGTCTTCTCGACCTCCGAAGAAGGACTCAGGCCGGCTAACGGCAGGAAATTCATACACAAGTAGGATAAACATAATAGCACTGATAGGCTGGGAAAGGCGATATACAAATACAGCAAATAAATAAATAAATAAATAAATAAATAAATAGCATCGTAATACATAAATACATTAAATACATTAAAATACAGATCATACAATTACAAAAAGCCAGGTCGTCAAAGTAAAATCACAAATTCATCACCATCYGCCGGTGTGGTCAGCAGTTATTGACTCGATCATCATTCTGCAAATGCTATATTCCAAAGCCAAGATTTTGCCAGCTTTCTGAAAGTCAGGAGGGAAGGGGCAGATCTAATCTCCAGCGGGAGAGAGTTCCAGAGCYGAGGGGCCACCACTGAGAAGGCCCTGTCCCTCRTCCCCACCAAACACGATTGCGAGGGTGGTGGGACCGAGAGCAGGGCCCCTCCAGAAGATCTTAACAGCCTTGATGGTTCATAGGGGAGAATCCGTTCGGACAGGGTTTTYTTAGGCACAGAATCCTCAGAGGTGGTTTTTTGAGCTCCTCCCTCTGTTGGCAGTATACAGCACATAGTGGACAATTGTTGCGGAATTGGGGTGGGGGCATTTTTGTGCCCCTAGGACCATTTTGTGACTACATTGATTCAGACAGAGAAGAAGAGGCAGATTGCCAGGAATCGGCAGCTTTTTATGATGATGGTCTCTTGGAATTTGAGAAAATGAGGGCTGAGGCAGATGTGGGGCTTACTTCATAGAAGGAGATTGCAAATGGTTAAGATCCATTGCCATCATTCACCTGTAAGGAGAAATTATGCTGATTCTAGTGATGATTAAGTAGGAGACACTGAACTAATATCTGCGGACCGCTGTTGTGAATCTCCCAGCCAGATTTGTTACTTTCATCCCTCCTTTTCTGGTAATTGGCAGTTAATATTCTATCTTCTGTGCTTACCTGATCTTATAATGCTGTTAGGAGCCCTGTTAAGGAAACCATGGAGATGTGTAACAGGACACCAGCAAGAGTGGCCAGTGTGAATTGGTACCCATTGTGCATTATGGTGTCCTGTTACACATCTCCATACTTGTTCTGCTATGTAGTTACATAACAGCAGTCCATATGGATACATTCTCACAATTCTAATTCCCATACAAATAAGTCAATTTACAAAGACATAAGTCCAATATAGGATTCTGGCTCATCATCATGATCATTAATATCACCATCTGTTCTTAACAGAGCTATAAAATTAGATCATTCTTCAGTTGGAATCCCCTCTAGAGCTATAATTTCATGTAAATTCTCAGTTACAGTTCCCTTTCTGGGAGAAAGAACTTGAAATTAACCAAAGCAAATGTGAGAGCAACGAAAATGTTATCCAAGATTTTGTCTGTAATTCCTTACTGTCTTGACTTTGAAGTATTGTGAATTTAAGTGTGATAGTGCTGAATTATGGTTGCCACCT